CTGAGGGGCCCGGTGGCCGCTGCTCGGCAAAGCCCCTGCGTGCCGGCGTGTGGCCCCGGTGGCGTGGGTGGGTCACACGGCAGGATTTTGCAGCCGCAGCACGGGGCTGCACAACCCGGCCGTGAGCCGCGCGTGGGTGTGAGCGCGTGTGAGAGAGAGATGGGAAGAATCCTCTTTCAGCTGAAACGTGGGTATTTTATATACCGTGCTTTATATTCTGGAGACCTCCCCAGTACCTTTTCCATCCCTGCTGGTGTTTGCAGAAGGCTCTTTGGTCCCTGGCCATGCCACGGCTCCTTCCCACTGTTCTTGCCCGGCGGCTCCGGTGCCGGCAGAGGCTGCTGCTGTGCAGGGAAAGGGCTCCCTGGCACCAACACGCTCCCTCTCCATCTCCTTTGGGCCCTTTTGGTGGCCGTGCTCAGAAAGCCCTTCTGCTGCCTCAGCATGGGGTGGCAGAGGGGGACCGGTGGCCACATTGGGGCATCATCTCCTCTCCCTGAGGATGCATCGGGATGGAGCACGGCTGGTCCCTGCTAGTCTCCCAGAACAGGAGCCCCAGGACAAACTGCACTGCTTGTCCTCAAATTTGGGGTTCTTGGAAAACAAGGCCATGCCAGAAGCCCGGGCAGACCCCCCTGATGGATGTGGGTGGGAGCAGGGGAAAGCCTGGGCCCCCTGGCACGGCGGCGCAGACCCTCCTGCCCGGCCCCGGAGGCAGCTGTGATGCTCAGGCAGCTCTGGCTGGGGCACGTGAAGGGTTAAAATCCGCCGCCTGCGCGGGGTGCTCCTGGCTGCCAGACCCTCATCTCCCCCTGTTCGGGCAGGGGCAGACCGGAGCGGGGTTTGGGGCGGCGGATGTTTCTGGTGGCCGCAGCATCACGGTGTCACTTGTTTCCCCATTGCGTCCCCCAGGCTGTGGCAGCCGCCGGGCTGCGGTCGTTACACGAAATGAGGGCGGTCGTACTTCTCCCCCGGGGCTGGGAGCTTTCGGTCTTTAAAGGCTTTTAGCTTTTGGAAATTAATTTATTTCGGCTGGGCGATGCCTCCTGTAAGGCCACCCTCCCCCCCGTGCTTAGGCACCGGAAAGTCGTATTTACTTTGGTCCGTCCCCAGTGAGCATCACCACGTTTGCGGGAGCAAAGCCCTCGTGAGCAGCCTGTCTCCTCTCATACTTTTATTTGCATTTCGGCATCCGATCCAACGCAGCGAGTCTCACCGAGGGCAAAGCGCGCCCTTGGTTCCCCCAAGCCATTTGATCCCCACCGTCGTCGTTGCACACCCCGGGTCACCCTGACATGGATCTGGGGCGAGGTTTGGACACGGGTGTCTGGACCTTATTCCAGCAAACCCTTCGGCCAGTGATTCCCCGAGCCAGCCGGGGACGGGATGCTTTGACTTTCCCGCAAGGGGAAAGAGCAGGGCAGGGCGTGGAGAAGGAAACCGTAAACAGGGTTTGCGTGAACACGGTCACGTCCCCTCTTCCTTCATCGGTCTCTGCTTTCCTTCAGTCCCTGGCTGACGGTGTCCTGTTTGCCCAGCATCTCTGGTGCTCCCCTTACCGGCGGTGCTGGGCCACCTTAGGTGATGCAACTTGAATTCACGGTTACTGAATTAATAGAGGAAAGAAAGAGCCAATATTAACAGGGCTCTGTTGTGCTAGCATCCTACCGGGGGTTCATCGTGTTGGGGCGGAAGGACCCAGGCTCCCGAAAGCGGCTCGGAGAACTGGGGTGGTTAATTTTCTCTAATGGCACTTAATGATTTTTCAGGAGGCAACCACTAAATCCTGCTTGCTAATCCCATTAGTCTTTCGGGATAGTAATTAGTGCATTAAAGGCGGCTTCTTCTTTTCTCTAGCAGAGGCGTGCTGAAGTTTTAGCTGTTTATTAGCCTGAATGCGGTGGCTAATGCTTTGCCTGGCGCAGAGAAAAAGTGGCTTTTTGGGGCTGTTATCAGCTAATTCTTGTTTTATGGCAGGGTCCGTGCAATGCACGTGTTGTAGAGTAGCTTTTTTTTTTTTTTAGTGTCATAACTTCTGCCGTGTCCGAGTCCTCTGTGCGCTCTGCAGGAGGGAGGTTTCCTCCTGACCTCAAACATGAAATGGAGCTCATCCCTGAAAAAGTATTCCAAGCCTTCTCTGATCAACCTCTTCTGGTTTTAGCTGTGCCAGTGAGCTCTTGGTTTGCTTCGGATCGTGGCTTCCTGTTCCTTGTATCGTGTCCCAGCGTGGAAAGAGGTGCTAGACCTGCAGAGCTGATAGTCTGGGGACACTGCTGGGGACCCCAAGTGCTGGGTGGGATCTCCTGGGGCGATTTTGGGTCTAGATTTACCCCCATACTGCATCTTTGCAGACTGCTGTCTGGCTGGACCCGTCTGAAAGTCTCCCAAGGGGGAGGCTGGTGTCCCTCAGGCTGATTTATCTCCTCACCTGGCGTCCTTCACCACCTCAGGATGGGGTGAAATGGGCTCTGGGGAGCCAGGGATGCCCTTGGCAAAAGCAAAAAGCTCTCTCGCTATGAGCTGTGGGTCAGTATTGACGGAGGGAAGCTGTCAGGGTGCTGCAGGGCTGCCCCCACAGATTTTTCCATCTCGGTGCAGGCACAGAAGTAAACCACCACCATATACCTGGGAGAGCAGCAGCAGCGACCAGGTCCTCTCTGGAGCAAGGCCACCGCGTACCACTTGACTCTTGATGACAGCTCATAAGTTTGCTTGCATTTTGTGTTTCGGAGCTTATTTCTAGGGTTTAATCCATTGTTTTTGTATGCTGAAATCTTCTGAAGCAGGGGTTAATTTTTTTGAGCTTACAGCCTCAGATTTTCCTGCACGGAGCCTCCAGCTGTTGACCGTAACTCTGGGGTACGGAACATTACTCCTAAAAAGATCCCCTGGCTTCCATAAATCCACAATCCATAAACATCTCATGAATGGTCTTGAAACGGAAACAAAACATTTAGAGTGGTTGATAATATAATGCCCATTTAATACCTCATGAATTCCACGGGCCATTTAAATCTTTCATGGATAGTTAATGATTATTCATCAGCAAGAAGTCAGAGAAAAAACAAACTCTGAATGGAAGGTCTTAAAAATACATTAGTTGGGGAACAAAAGCCAAGCTAGTTAAGAGCGAGCTCAAGAGCGTGTGTTAACCCGTGGAAGGGTGCGTATAAAATAGCCCTCCGGAGGCAAGATCTGCCCTGGGGTGTCCTGGCCCAAAGCGGTGGTTGGGTGGTCTTCATCCTTAGACCCATGCGAAGGGGAGGTGAGCCCAAAACCTCCTCCGCTTCCCAGTCGTGGTTCCTTTTGCCACTCTGGTGTCCGGCCAAATTCATGAACTCCACGGCCTTCAAGGAATAGCCTCTGGCAAGCAGCTGGGGAGGGAGGATCAGAGAGTATCGATGATGAATTAAAGCAGTGTGACCTGACACAGCTGAGCCCCAGAGGAAATGCTGGACTCTCCCGAGAGCTAAAGTGAAGCAGCTGCTGGAGAGGACGTGCAGTTTTTGTGGTGTACCTAGGTCAGGTTTGGGCTGGGAGGAGGCTCCTCCAGCTCAAGGCAGCTTTATTTTAGTTAAATTTTCAATGAAGTCTCCTTATCCTGTATCGTTGCAATCGCATTCGAGGCGTGGATGCAGCGAGGGTTAGGTGTTCTGGTGGAAAAGGCTGTTTATCCAAAGCCTTAGATGGTCATCTTCCTTGCCTTTAGCCTTGTTGACGCTGAGGTGGTTTTTTGGTACTGGTTTTCAAAATCAGGATGAGGATATCCTGGATGGATGAAGTCAGATACGAAATTCACATCTGATCCGGTGATAGAGCACGTACCTATTTTCTTCTTTTCCTTTTCCCTTGTATTATTTCCAACTCTGAACCGACTCTAACTCGACGCTTTCTCTGTTGTGGGGTTGGTTTTTTCCATCCCACATAACAGAAACCCCTAAGAACAGGGTATCTCCTGCGGCACTTGGCCAAGTCTAGTGTAAGATCCTACTTGGGGCATCTAGGCGGAGAGGAGAAAGACCGAGTCATAGACTTGCAGAAACCTAGGACCAGAGGTCTTCTCCCCCGTCCCCACCACACCGAGCAGCCTGTGGTTAGAGTGTCCTTCAGAGTTAATCATCTACGCTGGTCTTAAATGCTACTGAGTGATAGGTCATTTATTCTGCTGCTCTGCAACCTTTATAGTAATGATGTTTTCCCTTGTATCAATTCCAATCAACGCTTCTACCAGGTAGATCAATTATTTGATATTCTGCATGGGCTGGATTTGATAGAGCGGCACAGAGAGAGCTCTTGTGCCTGGTGTCTCTCTGACATTTCCCAGGCTTGGAAAGGCACGTGGGCTCTCGGGCTTTGGGGACGAGCAAGAGATTGATGTTTGCAGAGCAGGTGGATGCAGCGGGACACTACCAACAAGTGCAAATAATCCATATGCAGCATCTTCAGCCTTGTGTTACTCATCCTGTATGGTGTCCGAAAACGCAGAGACCCGCCTGGTACTTCTGCAAGGGGGAGAACATTGAAGTGAGGGAATTTGGAGAGCAAAACAAGCAGCATCTCTCCCTCTGTTTCCAAGTAATCTTTCTGATTAATCTCAGTGCCTTTGATGGTGAGTCAGGGCTGTGGAGTTTTGCACAGGTCCTGGATTGTCTCCAGCTCTCTCAAAGTATGGTCTGCACACCGCATCTTGACAGTGATGGGTAGCCTCCATAACAAACTGGCGCTCTGCTGCAATTATCCCACTG